ACCCCACAGTGCATCCCCCAGGGGCAGATAAACCCCACAGTGCATCCCCCAGGGCTGTACAGGGCCAGCAGGGCCCTGCCGGGTGCTCAGAGCTGCTTCATGCCTTGCAGGAAAAACATGCAGAGGAACAAGCAGGTGGCCATGGGCAGGAAGAAGTTCAACATGGATCCTAAGAAGGTACTGTGGGATGGGGAGCAGGGATGGTTAGCAGTCTGTGGGGCTGTGCAGGGCTCTCCCACCTCCCAGTCCAGGTTCCTGAGGCTGGGGCAGAGCCAGCAGCTGGGGCAGGGCTGGCAGAGGCAGCTGCACACCCCAAGTGCCTCTCTTGCCCCACTCCAGGGCATCCAGTTCCTGATTGAGAACGACCTGCTGAAGAACACGTGCGAGGACATCGCTCAGTTCCTGTACAAGGGAGAGGGCCTCAACAAGACAGCCATCGGCGACTACCTGGGCGAGAGGTGCACTGCTCTTGGATCTGCTGGGRGTGTGGTGGGCTCCTGCCACCTGAGAGATGGGGCACACAGCCCTGARCTCACAGAGCTGCAGAATGAGGGYACCCAGGGTGCTSTTCACTCCATGGCTGGCTGGTGTGTGCAGAGCAGATCAGGGCTTGAGCAGGGCATAGCTGCAGCTTTCCTCCATGGATGAGCGGAGTCTGGAGCAGTGTAGGGACCATGGAACCACTCAGTAGCCGCAGGATTGCTGATCATTGATTGCATCCCTTGTGCTTTGTTCCCACAGGGATGAGTTCAACATCCAGGTCCTGCATGCCTTTGTGGAGCTGCACGAATTCACCGACCTCAACCTGGTGCAGGCTCTGCGGTGGGTAAGGGGTGGGAGCTGAGCCCGTTGAGGGGAGGGGGATCACCATGGCAGTCCAGCCTGGCTGGGGAGCCCTGGAGCCCCAAATCAGTGGCACATCTCGCTCTGCAGGCAGTTCCTGTGGAGTTTCCGTTTGCCTGGGGAGGCACAGAAGATCGACCGCATGATGGAGGCGTTTGCSCAGCGGTACTGCCAGTGCAACCCCGGCGTCTTCCAGTCCACAGGTGAGTGCCTACTCCAGACAGCCTCCCTGGCATCCTGCCCGTGTCTGACTGGCCCCTGTGCCCCCACAGACACCTGCTACGTGCTGTCCTTTGCCATCATCATGCTGAACACGAGCCTGCACAACCCCAACGTGAAGGACAAGCCCACGGCAGAGCGATTCATCGCCATGAACCGCGGCATCAAYGAYGGGGGGGACCTGCCCGAGGAGCTGCTGCAGGTGAGGGATGGAGTATGGAAGGGCCAGGGCAGGGCAGGGCCCATCACAAGGCTTCCAGGGCAGAGCAGAGCTGATTCCTTGTCTTTGTGCCAGAATCTGTATGAGAGCATCAAGAATGAGCCCTTCAAAATCCCTGAGGACGACGGCAAYGACCTCACCCACACCTTCTTCAACCCCGATCGGGAGGGCTGGCTGCTGAAGCTTGGTGAGTGCCAGCAGAAAGGGAGGGCAGGCTGTCCTCAGGGTGCAGTGCCCCTCTCACACCTCTGCAGCTGGCCTGGCTCTTGAGAGCGTGAGGAGGCTGCAGAGACAGGCACAGCCTTTGCAGGAAAGGCGTCTGTACATCCAGCCCTCCATCGTCCCTGGGCTGGGCAGCACTCAGAGCTGACCAGGCCATGTGGAGCTGCTGGGTGGGCATCTTGGGGGATTGTGCCCCAGGCTGGGCACCCCTGGGGTGCAGATGTGCTACCAGAGTCCAGTGTCAGAGCACAGAGAGCTCGAGGCCCCTCAGGGCACTGAGCTGCAGCAGGGTGTGTGGAGCAGGGCCCTGGAGCGAGCGGCGAGCTGCCCCAGGCTGCGTGCGTCCCCTCCATGCCACAGAGCAGCCCCTGCCTCACCTTCCCACGGCATTATCACCTCTGCATCCYGGCTCCACATGCAGGCAGCATGCATGGCATCCCTGCTGCACCGAGCCCTCCGCGCCCTGGCTCCTGTGGCTTCTCTTCTCGGCACTCTGGGGAGTCCTCTGCCCGGGTTCAGCAAGGAGGGCCTGGGTGCTGCTAGGATCAGGGTCTGGTGGGGCCTTTCCCCGGGGTTCCTGAGTTCCCCGGGACTCCAGATACATGGTCAGCCCCTTGGCAGGGGAGAGGGGCCTTACCCCACCTCAGGGGCTGAGCAGGAGCTGCCTACTCCCTGCCCTGGGGTAGGGGGACACAGGGGACAGCCCCAGGCTCTCCCGTCCCCGACTGCAGGAGCCCTGTGCACCCAGGTTCAGGTTGGCACCACCGGTGGGGTGGCAGAAAGGCAGCAGAGTGGCTGTGGACCCCATCTGTCCTGGGGAGCCATGGGGTGGAGGGAGCCAGCCCTGTGCCAGCAGCTGAGGAGCCCCACCCCACAGAGCCACAGCGAGCCAGGGCACTCAGCCCCACACGGCCCCCCAACCCCTCACAGCTTCCCCGCTGCAGCCCAGCCCCACTGACCYGCAGGGCAAGGGGGGGCTTTGGGGTGCCTCTTTATTTTTTTTCCCTTTTTTTTTTTAATTTTCTTTTCTCCCTCATTTATATGTTTCCATGATTTTGGCTCTTCCTTTCCTTGCCCCCAACTCCAGGAGGTACGTACCCCTCTTTCCCGCTCTGCTCACACCGCTGGGGCTTCGTTTCCTTTGCGTTTTTAATTGCTGGTGATGAGTCTCATTGCTGCTGCTGCTGCTGCTAACCCCACACTGCCCAGGGACCTCGCCTGCTGCAGGACAGCCCCTCTCCACCTCCAGGCAGGGATGTGGGGTGCTGGCCCTGCCCATGCCAAAGCCTGTGGCCCCTCTGGGGCAGGATGGGGCACAGTGCCACCCACCCAGCTGTGCATCACCGTGTCACACACAGCTCAGCCTGGCCCTGGCTCTTTGCCTCCGATGCCCCAAGGGATGGGGCAGGTTTGGGTCTCCTTGGGAAGGGCCCAGCTGGTGCACAGTGGTTTGGGGTGTGCCAGGTGCCTGGAGCTGGATGGGAGCAGGATCTGTCTGTGCTGAGGGCTCACTGCAGTCCCCGTGCTGGCACCAGCGCTGCTCCAGTGCCTGCACCTTGAGGTGTCAGGGAGCGTTGGTGTTGGCCCTCGGAACTGCTGTGGGGCAGGGACAGGGGTGGGCTCAGCTGGCATGGGGGAGCAGGGCCCAGGGCCTTTGTGGGGCAGGTGATAAACAGGACCCCCAGTGTACCCCGTGCTCCTCGTGCCCGGGGCAGATCCAGCAAGGGAGAGCACTCATCCCAWATCCAGCCCTGCTGCCGTGGCTGCTGTGCAGGGAGCTGGCCGGGGGTGAGCAGGGCTGTCCCAGGAGCAGCTTCTCCCACTGTGGTGGCAGCTCTGGAGCTCAGCCCTGGCCCTGGGTCCCGCCTTGCCCGGCTCCAGGATGAGCAGGCCCATGGTGGTTGTGGACAGAAAGTCCCTGCGTGGCTGCAGAACCTTCTGGCTGTGCTGGGCGTGTGTTTGGGTGGGATTGGGCAGCGCTGCCAGCCCGGCACTCACGCCCTCACCTCCATCCTCATCCGTGCGCTTGCCGCTGTGGCTCGGGGCGGTGTGTGCTGCCTGCTGCTGCTGCCGCCGCTGCCTGGCTCTGCTTGGCTCTGTGTGTGCTGCCAGAGCCCGTGTGTCTGCGCGGCTCCACGCTGCCCGGCCATGTGCCCACGTGTGCCATGTGCCCACGGGGCTCCACGCTGCCCGTGCCGTGTGCCCGCGTGTGCCCGTGCCATGTGCCCGTGCCGTGTGCCCGTGCCATGTGCCCGGCCGTGTGCCCGCGTGTGCCATGTGCCCGGCCGTGTGCCCGTGCCGTGTGCCCGTGCCGTGTGCCCGGCCGTGTGCCCGTGCCATGTGCCCGGCCGTGTGCCCGTGTGTGCCATGTGCCCGGCCGTGTGCCATTGCCGTGTGCCCGTGCCGTGTGCCCGGCCGTGTGCCCGTGCCGTGTGCCCGTGCCATGTGCCCGGCCGTGTGCCCGGCCGTGCTGGCAGGGCTGTGCCCGACTGGCTCTCTTTGCTCCCAGGAGGCAGGGTGAAGACGTGGAAGCGGCGCTGGTTCATCCTGACTGACAACTGCCTTTACTACTTTGAGTACACGACGGTGAGTGGGCTCCGTGCAGGGTGAGCCCGGCTGGGCAGGGAAGGGGCCGGATTTGGGGGTGTTCACCCCACACTAAACCTCTGCTTGGCCACACCAGGATAAAGAGCCCCGTGGCATCATTCCGCTGGAGAACCTGAGCATCCGCGAGGTGGAGGACTCGAAGAAGCCCGTGAGTGCTGTGGCAATGTCCTCTGGGGCTCGGGGGCAGCTGTGGCTTGGGCAGGGAGAGTTGGGAGGTGTTGCAGCACCCTTAGATGTGCCCAGGAGAAATGGAAGGCCCCAGAGTGGTCACTGCCTCCACCATTGTAGTGGCCAAGTGCAGACCTGGAGCTGGTCACCACAGTGACCAGGGCACAGGAGGGGCCAGGGGGTGACAATCATGGCATGTCTGTCCCTCTCTGCCATGTTAGGGTGGCTTTGCTGGGGCAGTGCCTTTTCCCTCCCCGTCTGGGGTCCCCTTTGGAATTGGGGGCTGCCCCTGAGCAGTCTCTCCCTCCCAGAACTGCTTCGAGCTCTACATCCCTGACAACAAGGACCAGGTGATCAAGGCCTGCAAGACAGAGGCGGATGGACGTGTGGTGGAGGGAAACCACACCGTGTATCGCATCTCTGCCCCCACGCCCGAGGAGAAGGAGGAGTGGATCAAGTGCATCAAGTGAGTGCTTGGAGGAGTCTGTGAGGGCACACCACTGGGTCCTGCCTGCTGCCCTGCAGGGCTGGGGGAAGCAAACTTCCCCAGGGACATGAGGGACCTGCCCAAGGCTAGCCAGGCAGGTCACACCATCCCTGCAGCAGTTTGCCTGACCCAGCYCTTGTCTCCCCTGCCAGGGCAGCCATCAGCCGGGACCCCTTCTACGAGATGCTGGCTGCCAGGAAGAAGAAGGTCTCCTCCACCAAGAGGCACTAGCAGCCAGAGTGGCCCTGCGAGGCCAGCGTGCCCGTGTGGCAGCCCCAGTGTCCCCCAGCACGGGGGTCTGCGGGGCAGAGAGCACGCTGCAGCCTGGCCCTCAAGGCCCAAGGCCGAGCTTCAGCTTTGCCRTTTCTTTACTGTGGTGGGAGGAGAGGGGCACAGGATCTCTGTGACTCTGCCCCCATCACTGCCTCATCACCAGGACAGCATCTTCACAGGCTCAAGCTGGAACACAGCCCCCGTACACCCCTGGGAGCCGCAGCCTCACGCCACGGGCACCCTCCCTGCCTCTGACCCCCAGGAATCCTGCGGCCACAGGGCACTGGGTCCCCCAGCACCCGCCTKCACAGGCACCTGGGGTGTCCCTTCAGGAGGGAGCAGCTGGTGGGGAGCAGCTGGTGTTGGTTTTGGGGTGTCAGCCCCAGGGAGGCCCTGCCGAGACACAGCGCCCGGCCCTCGTTGTAGCGGGCCTGGGTCTGTCCTGGGCATCCCCACGCTGCTGCCTTGGACCCTCCCGGCCATCCCCTGCTCTGCAATGGTCCCCACGGGCACAGCAGGACTGGAGGGCAGCGGCTGGCAGTGTCACAGTGAGCAGGGTTGGCACACAGGACACAGAGGTGCCCTGGCCCAGCCATGGGTGGTGTGGCAGCACTGGGTGTCACTGTCCTGGCACATCCTTTGGCACAGCCCTGGCCCGGGGGGCACGGTTCGGTGGTGGGACATGACCAGGGCTGGAGCTTGCCCTCAGGATGGTGGCTGGTGGGGGTCTGGCTGTGGCCCCCACCTCTCTGCCTCACCCGTGTCTTGTCCTCTCCCCATCCCCACGCACAGTCTGGAGGCACCTGGATCAGTATTAGTCTATTTATCAGAGGTGTAAATACTCCTGTATAGTTTTCTCCTTTTAGATTATTTTGTATGTGGGTGGTTCAGTGCAGAGACCTCATGGGACTGGGGCAGGGGGGTAGGATTTTTTTATTCTAACCTTTTTTTTTTTTTTTTTTTTTTTTGCCATGGCCTTGTAAACTAGAGCTGAGGATCAGCAGCAAATAAACACTGCACTGCGCTTCTCTTGGCTTCCTGTGCTGTGTGTGCAGCGTGGGGCGGGCAGGAGTGCCCTGCCACTGCCAGCCCTGCCCCTTGCCCAGCCTGGGACTGCACTTGTGCCCTCCTGTGCCTTGGATGGGGCAGCMTTTGAGTGGGGCCAGGGTGGGCAARCAGCCCTTGCTGGGSACAGGACACTGTGGGTGTGGAGGGGGAGGGCAGCCCTGCRGTTGGGCTGGTGCCAGTGCCCGTTGGGCTGGTGCAGGGTCCGTTGGGGCACACTGTCAGTTCAACTGTGACCCTGTCAGTTGGGGTGCCAGCGGTACTGGAGAGCTGTGACAGGACAGGAAAGCAGGAGAGMCAGGTAAGGTTGGCTGGGGAGGGGAGCAATAGGGTCTGCCGGGGATGGAGTGGGTCAGGGGCAATAGGGTCTGCCGGGGATGGAGTGGGTCAGGGGCAATAGGGTCTGTCGGGGATGGGGTGGGTCAGAGGTAATAGGGCCTGTCAGGGATGGAGGTCAGGGGGTGATAGGGTCTGTTGGGGATGGAGGTCAAGGGCAATAGGGCCGGCTGCTGATCGGCCAGGCAGTGATGGGGTGGGTTGGGGCTGCTGGGGCCAGGCAGGAATGGGACTGGCAGCTTCCCCTAGGACTGCATGTGCAGAGGGAAGGCTGAGGGCAGGGAKGGGYGGCATGGGCAGTCAGGRGGTCAGGGTGGTGGGTGTACACAGSCCTGGCTGAGCAGGGTTTTGCCCACTGGACTATCCCAGGTGCTGAGTAGCTGYWYCCRAGCTTGGTGCTGGCACGATGGCCACACTGAACGAGGCACATGCCCTCCTCGAGAGCATGGCCACGGCGCTGCTGCGGATCCGGTCAGACAAGTGGGCCAAGTTTGTGAGCAGCGAGGACATTRCAGTCATGCTGGAAAAGTTCTTCCAGCAGCAGGATATGGTGGAGCTGGTGCTGGGGCTGAGTGCTGCCGGGCAGCCCCTGCCCACCACCTCCTTCCCACCCACCCTGAAGGGCAAAGGRATCTACTTTGTGAAGAAGAAGGGGGAGAGCATCACCAACGAGAACTGTCGGAGCGGGCTGCTGGTGGGGGACATGAGCCCCTCACCCGTGGAGCAGCTCATCACCGTGCTGCTGGAGGTGGGTCTGCCCGCACAGCCACTGCCTTGGGGCCAGCAGTGTAGCTCACCAGCCTGGTTTTCTCCTGGCCACAATTGGATYGCTTCCTCCCTGCAATTTTAGATACTCCTGGTAATGCCCACTTCCCTCTGCCCTGCAGCTGGGAAATGTCTCTGTGAATTTCCCTCAAACTTCCCATAAATATTCCCACTGCCATCCCACAACACCCKAAAGCTGCATCAGTTCCAGGAGCCCCCAGGATTCCTCCTCAGTGCTGGGGGTTTTGCTCGTGTGCCCAGCCCCTGACTCCACTAGATGCACTCACTGGCCCCTTCCAGCACTTCCCAGCCCATGAGAGCTGGAAACCCAGAGCAAGGGGCCTCTTGGTGTCACTGATGGKATAAATATCAGCAAAACCCATCTGTGACTGCACTGAGAGTGCTTTGATGGGCAGCAGGAGGGAGCACTGGGRTGCCCACTGCCCTGTGTACCCCATGACCAAGTTTCTGACCTAGCCCTGTCTCCCAGGTTGTGTCCCCTCTGCTCCTGAACCAGGACGAGGGGCTGGGCTGGCCCAGGACGGTGGTGGAGGATATTGTGCAACACACTCACCAGCTGCAGAACAAGATGTTCATGATGAGTGGGAAGATACAGGGAAAGCCACTGCTTCCACTGCCAGAGCACCTGGTCAGCTGGGATGACTCGGGCACCACGGACCGGTGGGTGCTGCTGGCACCACTTGGTGYCAGAAAAGCCTGGCAGGGGTCTGGGGCAGGATAAATCACTCGGGGAGGGACAGGAGCTGGACACGGGCTCGGTTCCTGCACAGCCCTGGGCACAGCTGAGATGGCCAAAAGCAGGCACGAGGGGCTTCAATGGGGCTGTTTGAGGCTCCCATGGGACAAAACCCATCTGCCTTTCAGCCTGGAGGGGCCCTTGGATGGCTCAGTGCTGCACTCCATCGAGACTGTCATCATCGAGTGGTTCCAGCAGGTTGAAGAGATCTTCAGCCAGGACTCAGCACAGCCACTGCTGGAGGGGCTGAATCCCCTGCCCAAAGTCGAGTTTGATTTCTGGCAGACCAGGATGATCAGCCTGGATTGCATCAATGAGCAGGTACTGTCTCACCCGAGGTGGTGATGTGTGCCCGTTCTGATCCCCCCATGCTCAGCCCCCCATGCTGACCCCCCATTCTGATCTGCCCCCTGTCCCCCTCCAGCTGCTCTCCCCCCAGGTGACCATGCTGGCCAAGGCACTGGAGAAGGCTGACAGCTGCTACTGGCCATCCCTGCAGAACATGTTCAGGACTGTCAGTACTGGTGAGCTCCATCACAGGGTGCTGGCTCCCTCCAGCACGGTGTCCCCATCCCAACAGAGGGGGATTTTCCAGCGAGGTGTCCCCATCCCAACAGAGGGGGATGCTCCAGCGAGGTGTCCCCATCCCAACAGAGGGGGATGCTCCAGCGAGGTGTCCCCATCCCAACAGAGGGGGAT